GGCGGACAGAGAAGGGAGCTGTTGAAGGTGGGGACACCAGTGAGGAGGCTGCTCAAGTAGCTCCGGGATGAGGCAATGAGGACCTGCACGGAGATGAACAGCAGTGGCTGGAGGTCAGCGCCCTAGTTGGTGGTCCGGCTATGAGTCAGCTACTCCCTGATCTTCGTTCATGACTATCCTTTACGGACCCACCCAAACCCCCATGTCTGTGCTGCGTTACATACCCCTGAGGCAGAGCCCTGGCAGAGCAGCTGGTAATAAGGTTTTGGATGAATGTATTTAGCTAATGGTGATCTTCCATCACAGCCCTTCTGGCTTCAAAAGATCCTACTGAGCACAGAGATCTAGTTCTCTGGATCAAATGATAGTCCTGAATGAACGATAGTAGAAAAATGAGCTGAAGAACAACCTAGCAATAACCCTGAGAGATCAGATTTAAAGAAGCAGCAATCCAGCCGGAACCGGTTTGGCTCAGTGGATAGAGCGTCGGCCTGCGGACTGAAGGGTCCCAGGTTCAATTCCGGTCAAGGGCATGTACCTGGGTTGCGGGCACATCCCCAGCAGGAGATGTGCAGGAGGCAGCTGATCGATGTTTCTCTCTCATCGATGTTTCTAACTCTATCTCTCTCACTTCCTCTCTGTAAAAAATCAATAAAATATATTTTTTTTAAAAAAAAAAAGAAGAAGCAGCAATCCTTTAATCCCAGGTGATATCGCTTCTGCTGCAAACCCTGGAGTCCACCTCAACCAGCCACCTGACCCCCGGGAGAGGCAGGGAACATTAGCTGTTCCCAAAGTGGGCACGATGGCCTGGCTACTGGGGGTCAGGTAGGGCTGGACACGGTAATTTTAGCCACAGCCTACCTCTCTCTCTTCAGGGAGCAATTGGTGTGATCAAGACGCAGAGAATCCTAATCCTACCTTGGCACAGAGGCAGCCTGACATTTGCCAAGAATTTCTACCCAGAAATTCTGCTTTATAAATAGAGGAATTAGGCCTGATCGGTGTGGCTCAGTGGTTGAGCGTCAACCTGTGAACCAGGAAGTCATGGTTCGATTCCCAGTCAGGGCACATGCCCTGGTTGCGGGCTTGATCCCCAGTGGGGGGGTATGCAGGAGGCAGCTGATCATTGATGTTTCTATCTCTCCCTCTCCCTTCCTCTCTGAAATCAATAAAAATAAATAAATAAACAAACAAATAAGGTTGTGGCAAGGTCACTGAGGCATATTGCATGGTGACAGAGCAACGGAATTTCCAGGAGAGGGGGGTGGGGACTTGCCTGGCACCAGGTCTAGCCTTCCTGTCTCGGGCAGGACTGGATTGTGGGCTGATTCGGCTGCTTTCTACATCACCTGCACTTCCATGTTAGTGGAAGAAAGCAGTATATGGATACAAAATCTAAACTGAGGCTTTCACTGATCCCTGAAGCTCAGAGATCTTTGGGCAATTGAAGTCATGCGTCTGGGTGTATTAACTCATAAGCGTGCCCGATGAGTAACAGGGGTTACAAATGGATATTTAAACCAATTATGATATTGGGCAGTGGACATTAATTATTTGTGGTCCTCCTCCAACTTTCACTCCTCTTCACGTTTTGGCACCCTACCATATTATAAACCCTTTCTTCCCAAGGAAGAAGCCAGAACACTCACACTGCAGACCGCTCCCAGCTGTGGGGCGGTCATACGATCTAGGTTCTAGCGATCAGCCACATCAGCAGTAAGAAATAAAGGGCGAGAGCCACATATGAGGGACCGATCTTCAAGCAGGTACGGTAGCAGAAGTCTCCAGATCTTTGGGAGTAGCAATGGTGACGTTTCTGGCTGTAACCTGTTATGAGACCAAGAGGTTATGCATTTTTTTCTGGCTGCTTACCTTCAAGGCCTGGCTCTCTTGGCCTCCAGAAGATTTGATATGTTATCTACTATTTTTCTTTTTTTTAGCTTAAAGTGCCAGCATAGCTTTTGCTTTTTGCATCTAAGGACCCTGATAGATGCACAGATTGGTACTTAAGATGGTTACCAGCAATAGACCCTCAAGGAAATGGTGACAGGGTGGTGGGTTAGCTGAAGAGGCAATGATTATTTTGTTAGTATTGAAGGATGGGATTCCTGGTGTCCTATGAGAGAGAGTGAAGAAACAATTTCTTAAATTCTTACCTGACCTCCCTACTCAAAACTCCAGTGGCCTCCAAGATGGAGGGTTTGAGGAATGCAAATACTGTGGGTGGGTCCTATTGTTTGCAAACACAAGCACTGCCTGATACAACAAGAAATCTTCTGGTGTGCATTTTAAACAGGCCCCTCAGTGGAACTAGAGTTTTATGCCTTCCACAGTGATGGGAGAGAGAGGGGGGGGGGGGGTAGGGAGAGAGAGAGAGAGAGAGAGAGAGAGAGAGAGAGAGAGAGGGAGAAAGAGAAACTTTCAGAAAAACAAATACACAGTAGGGATTTCAGAGTATATTTAGAATTCAATAGACACCTAAATTTTCTAGCCATCTCTATAAATTGGGCTTCTAGATAACAGACATTCTCCGAGGCTCTCCATGATCAGACATCACTAAAGAGAGAGATACTGGATATAATAATTCTTTAGTCAGATATGTGTGCCTTGCAAACATTTTCTCCTGGGCTGTGGCTTGCTTATTCATTCTCTAGAAGATATCTTTTGTTGAGGTCAATTTTTTTAGTTTGATGAAGTCTAAGTTTTCAAATACTTCTTGTTTGGTTATTGCTTTCTGAATCTTGCCAAAGAGATCTTTACCCATCTTTCGGTTACAAAGATATCCTCTTATGTTTTCTTCTATCAACTTTACAGTTTTAGCTTAGATGTTTAGGTCTATGATCCACTCTGAATTGACCATTGTGTGTGATATGCGGTAGGAGTGCATTCTTTTGCATATAGATACACACTTGTTCCTGCGTTGTTTGTTGAAAAGACTTTCTTTTCTCATTGGGTTGGTTTAGCATCTCTTGAAAATCAAGTTACCATATAAATGTGGGTCTCTATCAGGGCTCTCTATATCAGCAGTCAACAACCTTTTGGATCTCAGGGACCACCATGGCCTGCGGACCACCATTTGGCAACCACTGCTCTATATTGTTTTATTTATCTATTTGTTTATCCTAATACCAGTAGCACAGCCTTGATTCTTATAATTTATAATAAATTGGAAAGTCAGATAGCTTCTTTAGACTTTGCTCCTCTTTTCAAAATTTGATTTAAAAAATTGACATATAGTAAAAGTGACTTTTTATATTGCATAGTTCTATTCATTTTTTTAAAATCCTCACCTGAGGATATGTTTATTGATTTTTAGAGCGTGAAAGGGAGAGAGAAACAGAGAGAGAAACATCAATGTGAGAAAGAAACATAGGTTGGTTGCCTCTTGCACACACCCTGCAACCAAGGTATGTGCCCTGATCAGGAATCAAACCCAAAACCAACCTTCTGGTGTACAGGACGATGCTCCAACCAACTGAGCCACACGGGCCAGGGTTAGTTCTATTCATTTTAACACATATGTAAATATACGTAATCATCACCACACTCAGAATATGAATAGTTTGACCTTTTCTCCACTCCTAATCCCTGGCAACCACTAATCCGTTCTTTGTTATTACAGCTTTAATTTTTAGAAAATGTCATATAAATGGAATCATAGAGTATGTAAACTTTTGAGACTGGCTTTTTTTTTTTTTTTACTCTGTAAAACGCCTTTGATATTTAACCAGGTTGTTGCACGTATCAATGTCATTCCTTTCGTTTGTTGGCTAATGTTTCATCTTATGAGTGTATTGCAGTTTGTTTATTCATTCACTCGTTGAAGAACATTTGGATCACTTCCATTTTCCTGGCAATTATAAATAGAACTGTAACCAACATTCATGTACAGGTTTTAGTATAACCACGTTTCCATTTTTCTAGGGTAGTTCTTTAGTATGATTGTTTTGGATGTTCTAGGCCTACTGCATTATCATATTAATTTTAGAAAGAGCTTGTCAGTTCATATAAAAGCCTCGCCTAGATTTTGATTAAGTTTGCATTGAATCTCAGATGGAAAAACCTGCTTCAGGAAGGCAGCCTTCGCATAATCACCCTAGTGTTAGGCAGGATGACTCCTAGCCTGAGCCTATTAGCTACATACGGTCTGTGTCCCATTGTTTCTGAGTTGCCTAGCAACAATTTGCCTGTCAGAGTATGTTCCACTCTTTCTCAACTACCTGTAAATCGCTTACACTTTAGTATGCAAGAGTTTAGTTTCCTCCACTAATTACTTAATTTCATTTTAGGGAACGGAAGGCTTTGTTTTCCGTTAAAGAAATTTCATGTTGGAAGAAAATATAAATAGGCACCATTTAGTGAGCACCAGCCATGTGTCAGATATTTTGTATACATTATTATACATTATTGTATCCTAGCATTCCCATTTTACGGGTGGAGAAAGTAGGGATCAGTTAAATTAAATAACTTGGTAAGATCACAGCATATTGGACCCAGTCAAGATTTCAACTCAGGTATGGCTAGGTTAAAACACCATGGTCCTTCCACTATACTGCACTTTCTCTGTCCCTTTCCCTCACAAAGGTGAACCCAATTTGGGTACAAAATGATTCTGGATTTAGGAAATGTTCTGAAGAATACTTGGCTCTGGTCAAGATGGGACATAGGTATATGAGGTACTCACATCTCCCCTAAAAACACATCAAAATTACAATTGGCCCAGTCGTGTGGCTCAGTGATTGAGCATCAACCCAGAAACCAAGGGGTCACGGTTAGATTCTTGATCAGGGCATATGCCCAAGTTGTGGGCTCAATCCCCAGTAGGGAGTGTGCAGGAGGCAGCCAATCAATGATGTTTCTCTCTCATCGATGTTTCTATTTCTCTATCCCTCTCCCTTCCTCTCTCTCTAAAAATCAATAAAATATATTTTTAGAAATTACAACTAAACTACAGGACAACCAACATTGAGAACCACCTGAAATCTAGCTGAGTGGAAGTCCTACAACTAAGGATATAAAGAAGAAGCCACATTGAGACTGGTAAGAGGGGCAGAAATGCAGAACAGACTGGTCCCACATCCATGTGTGGCAGATAAAAATTGGAAGGGGTATCTCAACTATGGACCCAGGAGTCCTAGCCCAACACTAGGCCCCCCAGCCCAGAGTTCCAGTACCAAGAAGAGAAGTCCCCATAACTTCTGGCTCTAAAAACCAGCAGGGATTGAGTAAGAGAGAGGGCTGCTGGAGTCCCAGGTGTTCCTCTTGAGGGTCCAGCACATGGACTTACTCGGACTTACTACCTCTGAGCTCCAGCCCTGGGACAGCAGCTCAGAAGGCACCAAGGACATACGAGAAGGAAGTGAATTGTCTAATGCCAGAGAGAGAACTGGAGGGGCAGTTTTGTCCCAGACAGAAGGGCTGGTAGAAGCCATTGTTCCTTTTCTGAGCCCAACCCCCCACAGAGCAGGCAGGCAGGTGCCATATCTGAGTCCCCATCAACCTGGCTATCACTGTTCTCCCCACCCTGGTGACTCCCTGAGACCATGCCCCACCCAACTTGCAGGTTCACCCAAGCTGTCTTCTGTGGCTTTTCCCTACAAGCTGCCTGTCTTGGTTGATGCTTCAGACTTTCTTAAAATCCCTCAAACAAGCAGAACCTGGCCTTGGTGTGCACCTTTCCTCTTTCTAAGTAGCCCCATGCCTGATAGCACCATGCCCAGGACTAATGGCAGCTGGCCTTGATTTGTAGCTTGGCCTCTCCTGGGCATCTTCAAGCCATCTACAGATTGCTCTGTAGCTCATGCCAGCTGGCCCAGGGCAGAACACAGGTGGCAGCAGACCTTAGCCTGCACCTCCTAGGGGCCCCAGCATACCCAGTGGACAGCCTCAGACCTCATTGAAGCATCACCCAACCATCTCCACAAGTGATACACTCAAGGGGCAAATTCAGTGGGCACCGGAGCCCAACTAAGGTAAGTCTTGCTTCATGTAGTGGGCCCCTGAACAGTTGATCCTCCATGGTGGTTGCAGCCAGTTCTTGCAGCCGATTGGTCTGAGGTTAAATCCCTCCCACTGATGTGCCATCAGCAATCACGACTCAACTATAACAGGAGGGTGTACACAGCCCATGGGGGCGGGGAGCTCACCTGGAGTGCCCAGCTCAGGTGAATAGGGAGGCTGTGCCACTGGACCCTACACGACACCTGCTACATAAGGCCACTCTAGCAAGCCCAGGAGACCCAGCAGCTCTATCTAATACATAGAGACAAACACAGGGAGGCGGCCAAAATGAGCGGACAAAGAAATATGTCCCAAACGAAAGACCAGAACAAAATTACAGAAAATAACTAAGCAAAATGGAGACAAGCAATCTACTAGAGGCAGAGTTCAAAACACTGGTTATGAGGATGCTCAAGGAGCTTAGGGGAAGACTGGATGAGCTTAGGACTTCAACAAAGAGACAGGAAACATAAAAACAGAACTAGAAAACATGTTTAAAAACCTACCAGAAACGAAGACTACGTGAACCGAAATGAAGAATACACTGCAGGAAATCAACAATAGAGTAGATGAAGCAGAGGAACAAGTCAGAGATTTGGAAGATAATGAAGCAGAAAACACACAATCAGAACAACAAAAAGAAAACGAGAATCCAAAAAATGAGAATAGTATAAGGAGCCTCTGGGACAACTTCAAGCATAGCAACATTCACATCATGGAGTGCCTGAAGGAGAAGAGAGTGAGCAAGGGGTTGAAAACCTATGGGAAAAAATAATAATAATAATGAAGGAAAACTTCCCTAGCTGGAGAAGGACTAAACATATTACTGAGTACCTAACTCAGTACCTGGCACTTTGATTTGAAAGACACAATGAATAATGATTTGGCTTTACAGGCCTATTCCCGAGGCTGCAAAGGGAGAAGGGTTATATAGACTCTTTTAGGATCATAGATTACACTACTAAGCCTGAATTTTTTCAATGGATTCCCTTGCTTTAGACTTTTGAGTAAACAGATCTAAATTCAAATTCCTGGTTCTTCCACTTACTAAGTGAACAGGTTACTTAAGCTCTTTAAATCTCTTAGGGTTGCTAAAAGGATTAAGTGAGAGAATGCATTTAAAGAGCTTGAACAATGTCAGGTATAGAGTAAGTGCTCACTAAAAGAGAAGCTATTATTACTGAGATGATTTCATAGTTCTTTTTATGCCCAAATGCAGATTAAGTCCCCTTTGCCCTCCCCTATGTATTTTTCACCCTTATCATGCACTCACTTTGAATAAATCTGCTTAGTAAATAAACTTATTATTTTGAGATAGTTATATGGAGTTGTAAGAAATAATAGAAATAAATCCTGTGTGTCCTTTACTCAATTTCCTGGATGGTCACATTTTACTAAATCATGGTATCAGCACCTGAAACTAATATAAAATAATATTAAATGTCAACTGTAAATGAAAAATAAAATTTTTAAAAATCATTTCATAATATTATATATGTTAATGTGAATTTAGGAGAAATCCAAGAAATGATTCATATTCAATATGTGTTTTTATCATCAAAAATAAAATTTAATTTCTGTATATGGATCCATCTACTTTTGTTGGAAATATTTTGTCTACTATTCAATAAAGTAGACTCTTTTTAAAAAATACTTTTAAATTCAGTCTTAATCCTGGGCTGGTCAGTACAGTACAGTATTCTTTCATTATACCAGTTACCACTTATTGAAGAAGTACCATTGGTAAGTATAATTACATTACTACATTTAATCCCCATGACAGCTTCCGTATGTAGCTATTATAAATCCCATTTTACAGACAAAGACATGTAGTTTAGAGACAGGTAAGTAAACTTTCCTAAGACTACTCAATGAATATATGCCAGGATTTGAACCCACTGGGCTAGCAGGTTTCAAAGTTTAAGCTCTAGAATGCTCCTCTGTGCAGCCCCTTCTGCTCTAGCTGCCTCCTGACAGTGAGAACTCAGAGGTGACGGAGAACATAGCCGTGTGTCCTATTGCCTTTTGTAGGGCTGGTTGTTTTGTACCCTAATCTGAATGTCACCATGTCAGAAGTCCTTGACGGCGCCTACTTGGAAAGGGGAATATTATGTCCCAGAGCAGTGAAGAGCTCCATTCAGATACTCCTAAAGCACTTCAGAAAGACAGAGTCTGGTGTGTTTGAGGGACTTCAGGCCACGCGTGTTCTTTCCTTCTGAGCATTGCAAGGGAGCAGCATAAGACCCGCAAATGGACTTGACCTCTCCACTGGGCATCTGGAACTAAAGTGATCGATCCCAGAGCATTATGTGGACCAGACAGCTTGGTGCAGTAGAAAGAGCATAGGATTTTCATTGAACGTTGGTTTGGACGTGTCCTTGACCCAGCATTTTTGTCCTTTCACTGGTCTATGAAATGCCCCGGTAAGAGAGGCGTTACAGGCATGCCAGCCCGAGAGATTGTCCAATAAAGACACAATCAGCGCGGGAATGGGAATCATCAGGAGGGCTTCCTTGAAGAGGCGAGTTCTAGAAAAGATTTTGAAAGTGCCAGACCACTCTTGCCCTGGAAAACACACACACGCCAGCGTTACCCCAGAGGCCACCAGCGAGTCCTCATCCATCCGGCACCCTGGTGGGGCTCGGCCTCGTTGGCTCCCACTGCAGGCCTCTGGGGAGAGGCTGACATTAACTAACAAAGAGATTCTTTGAGAGCCCAGAAAGAAAAGCACCAGCCGGACTCTCCATCTGCCTGCCGGCCGGTTGTGCAAGAGCCGGAGGAGGAAGAGGAGTGGCCGGGGCAGGCGGCTCACAGTGGCCGCAGTCAGTCCCTGGCGATGGATGAGCCAATTGTGCTGACAGGCTGGGCCTCTCCCACAGGTTTTCCCTGGGCTCAGACAAAAGAGGGATAGAGAGCAGGAAAAGGGTGGAGGCCTCAAATAAAAATTAATTAACACTATCTATTTTTCTTTCTTTTTCTAAAGGTAATCTCTTAATCCTAAGAACTGGGATTCGTGTGTGCCCTTTGGTCTATAACCAAAAACGGAAGAGTCAGAAGCCATCATCGTGTTCAAGGTCTCACCTATTAGATTTCTTTCTCTCAATGGCCCTTTGTGTGGGGATCTCCTATGAAGTGAAACAGGCCTTCTAGGCTCTGACTTGGATGAGGCAAAGGTGGCCAAGTTTAGCCATCACCAGGGAAGCTCTGACGTGGAAAGATTGGAAACTGCGAGGAAATTGGCATGCCAGGACTTGGGTTACCAAGGGAAAGGGGACACTGTAATCATTTCTCAACTGCTGTTGAAGTCACTCTTTATCTCAGTGATAGATTTTCTCTGTATCCCATTATGCCCACCTTCCCTCTGTCTCCATCCAGCCACTATTTTGAGGACCAAGAAATGACAGGCCTTGAAATTAGAAGGTTCTTTTTGAGGACTTTTAGTCTAGACTCCTACACAAGGGAGACACGAAAGCCGTGGCTACCCTGGGCTCCACCATCTGGAAGTGGGGAAAAAGAAGGAAGAAAAAGGATGATGGGAAAGGACATATGAAGAGTAGTTGGGAACTGGGAAGTTACTCTCATTATTCTTTACCCAAGTAAATGGCACCACCATCCACTCAGGTGCTCAAGACAGACACTTGTGAGAACATCTCTAATTCCTTTCCCTCATCCCCTCTATGTCCACAGCCAGTGATCCAGGGCCCAGGGGTCCTCAAACTTTTTAAACAGGGGGTCAGTTCACTGTCCCTCAGACCATTGGAGGGCCGGACTATAGTTAAAAAAAAAAAAAACTATGAACAAATTCCTATGCACACTGCACATATCTTATTTTGAAGTAAAAAAATAAAACGGGAACAAATACAATATTTGTATTTGCATGTGGCCCGCGGGCCGTAGTTTGAGGACCCTTGATCCAGGCCATTACAATCTCTTGCCTAGGTTATCGTAACGTTCTTAATTGATCTGCTATGATACGTTGCCATTCTTCAAGCTAATTTACAAATCACAATCAGAATTTTCTTTTTACTACACAACTTAATCATGTTTCCCCCTTGCTTCAATAGCTCCCCGTTGCCTTTAGAATAATTTCCAAATTCCCTCGCACAGTATTCAAAGCCTTCCATGACCACTGAGCTGCTGCCTCTATCCTGAACTAGTGTGATATGTTCTAATTTGCCTCCTGAACTTTGTACATTCTTCCTGGATCATCCTTTTCCCCCGTCTGACTAACTCATATCTGCCCTTCAAGTGTCAGGCTGGTTGCCCCCTCTTCTGGGCAGCTTTCCCTGACCTCTCCTATACTGGACTAGGCACTTCTTCAGGGGGCTCCCATGACCTGTGTACATGCTCCTGCAATGGCTACTACTCCCATTGCCCACTACCAGTGTGTTTTCTAGATTAGTTCTGAAGTGGTTTGTGGAAGTTGAGTGGGAAGGCCTTCTTGATGTTCTAATTTTCATGAACCCAACTATGTGATCAGATTAAAGAGAGAGAGAGAGAAAGAATGAGGAAGGGAGAGAGTGAGAGATTGTTATCTCAGTGGTACAAGCAATGCTGAGTGATGTCCTACTCAGCATCCATCGGCCCACATATGTCCCCACATAGTATCTTAGTGAGATGAATGTGAACCTCTGAGTAAATATGTTTATGTTATTTCACAAGGCCACTAATCATTATCTGCAAGCATCATCTAGGGCAGTGATGGTGAACCTTTTGAGCTCAGCCTGTCAGCATTTTGAAAAACCCTAACTTAACTCTGGTGCCGTGTCACATATAGAAATTTTTTGATCTTTGCAACCATATTAAAACAAAGATTTATATTTTTGATATTTATTTTATATATTTAAATGCCATTTAACAAAGAAAAATCAACCAAAAAAAATGAGTTCGCGTGTCACCTCTGACAAGCATGTCATAGGTTCGCCATCACTGATCTAGTGAGTAAACAGCAATATGATCCAACACTGGAAGAGACACTGCTGATTTTCAAGACACTGGATTTCATTCCCTAATACGGTGTATCGCTAAGGAATTTTCAAGGGTAAAATCGATGCTTATATTTCGTTTTTGCCTTTTTACATGGTTTTAGAATGATCATCTTGGTAAAATACTCTACCAGCCAAGCTTGCCCTCTTTCCCCCGGCAACTGCATCCTTACGTGGCTATTTCAGGAGCTGCCATGCTCTCACCTGACCCAAGGTAGGCCAACCAATACCTTCTCCAAGATTATTACATTTGAAATCCAGATAATTGAGGCCATGTCTCCTCTTGTAGGTAAAGCTGTTAGATGCAAAACTAAAGGGATGTATTTTTCAGCACATGGCAAAAGCTTGTTCGCTGAAAGGAATAGGCAAGATAGAGAAGTGAACTGCGATGGCAAAGATGGATTTAGCAGGTGTGGGCTCCTTGTCACTGGAGGGCTGGGTGGAGGTGGTCAGGGGAGAAGACTACTAACTGGGTGTCTGCTTGCTTGGTGCTGGTCTTAGGCATATGAGGAAGGATGGCTACCCTAGATTAAGCCGAGTCTGTGTGACTAAAGGAGTGTGAGGATACGGGGAGACAAGTAAATATGAAGAAGGAGAATGGCCTCTTAAAGATGGAGGGTGAGTGAGGATGGGAGAGCACTGAGCTCGTTGGCACAGGAGATGAAGTAGAGCGAACAACATTTAAATATTTAACCTAAGAACTAACCTGGGATGGACAGTTAGAAAATGGAGGAAATTAGGCCCCAGAGAAATTAATGACCTCAAAGTTATGCAGCTTCTAAAGCAGCAGAGCCCCAGTTTGAACTGCAATTTGTGTGACTCTAAGGTCCATACTTATCAAATATCTGGTCTAATCCCATCGTATTACAGAGGAGGACAAGGAGGCTTTAGTGGTGAAGTGACCTGCCTGGGGACATCAAGATATCCCAGTAAAACCAATCCTAGAACCACCAAAACCCAAATACTCTTTCCAGGCAATTCATTGCTTTCCATCATAATCAGAGAGGAAGGGGGCAGTTACTGAAGCCTTACAATTGCTCTGAAAGAGCTTCCTCCCTCATCTGTGCCCCATCATCTCCTTGGTAAATACGAAGGATATTGACAAAGTGTCACTGGAGTGTGAGACACTTGGAAAATACAAATCCTTCTATTAGGAGAGTCCGAGCAATTATTTACTTGTCAACGTAGAAGGGCAGGGCAGGATTAATTAGAGCTAAAAGGATCAGGGTAAAAATACAGGTGTAATTATTATTATAATGGCGATAATCTGCAGATTCTATGTAGATATTACTCCACCCTCAAGTGCCTAACCTGCTAGAGCAGGGAATAAGCCAGTGGCGAAGGTGGGGATGGAAAGGAGAGAGGTAACCGGCATAGTGAGGGACCAAAGACAGAAAACCAAATGGGAGAAAGAAAACAGGCTGATTTGCTAGTGATGAAAGGGTGAAGATAGTCTGACAGGCAAGACATTTGATAGTAAGTCATAAGTATTTGTACCAGGAAAGATCTTTCAATGGCGCCCACATTGCCACTTCTCTTATTAGAAACTAAAGACAAGAATGTTAAGCAGACTGCCGAAGATTACATAGCTTGTCAGTGGCAGGACTTGGACTAGAATTTGGGTCTTTTTGCACTTAGTTCTGTGCTAGTCTAATAAAAGCCCAGAGAGAATGCCCCAGATTGGAGAAGAAAAGACATTGAGATATAGGTCAAAGGGGCTAGTTCACTAGGATCAAATGCCCATCTTTGTTTTCCATTCACACCCTCCCCCCAAAGCAGTTCAAAAAAAATATCTGGGCTTGCTCTGAATCAAACTGGCTTATGAGAGAGGTGGAGAAATTATTGGCTTATGAAAAGGTCATGTGGAGCTTTTTGATTTTTTCCAGAAGTTAGAAGCCATATGACTGGAGAAAAAAAGTAAAAGACATCATGAACACACACCTTCTAGTAATTGTGCACACAGTATATGCTAATTTCACACCATTTTGCATCTAAATCTCACAATATAAAGGAATAATAATTGTTATCCCTATTTTACATATTTTGGAAAACCGAGGCTTACATGACTAACTAGATAAGTGGCAAAGCAAGCTGTGAACTCAGATTCATCTGTCTTCATATCGTATGGTTAGAATGTCTGGCCCTAGGCAAAAAGAAAAGAAAAAAGGAAAAGCAGACAGAACTCATTCATCTTTCCCACAAGGCATTTTTTACAATTATAATAACCGGAATTTTAAAAATTATTTAGCCTTAATCCTGCTCCACTAACATAGAAATTTGCTATTTTTCTCTATTCTTTGTAAACTTTGTGCATATGGACACATAAGCTCCCAGACTGGCTTCTCTGCTGATATCTGGTCTGTGCACGGCTGTCATGGCCATAGGCACCTCTCCCTCAAATGCAATTCAATCTGGCCGTTCCCACCCTGGCCCAGCATCCTGCCTTTATTGAAACTCCCTCAGTTGGACTGCAGGACAGGTCTCCCAAATCTTATGGCATGCTTTCTTCCTCCTTACTCTCTAACTCATTCCTCACTGGCATCCTCTCATGTTTTTAAACACACATGATCCAATCTTGGCACGTGCTAGTCTCTCTGCCCTAAACATTGTTCTCCACTCTTAAATCAAGCATCATCAGGTCTCTCCTCTGCATATCCTTAGGATTACATGTACCTCTCTTCTCGGCAGCACTTCCCACAGAAGTGACATTCCTGGAGTTGTTGGGTTATATGATGAATACCCGTCTCCCCTGCTATGTTGCAAGTGTGGTAAGGACAGGAAGTCTCTCTCATTGTATCACCACTTTGTCTTTGATTCCTACTATAGAGCTTGGTATTTTTACCAGAGAAGAGGTACCGCCCAGACCCCCTTCAAGGAAGAACTTGCTGCCCATCTGGGGAGCAGAACCAGCCATCACCTTCCAGCTGTCAACAACTGGAATCTGCCTCAGTGGCACAGAGGGGCACCTCTGAAAATCATCCCCTTCTTGAGGCAGTCCACATGGGCTGACTGAGTAAAGTGGGCATCGTTGTTGAATGATGGCTCCCAAAACATATGTTCATGTCCTAACCCCCAGGACCTGTGACTGAGACCTTATTTGGCAAAGGGGTCTTTGCAGGTGTAATTAAGTTAAGGATTTAGAGAGGAGATCGTTTTTGGATTTAGAATGGGGTCTAAGTCCAGTGACAGGTGTCCTTGTGAGGAAAAGGCAGAGAGGCAGAGTTGAGACTCAGACACACAGAGGGGACGGCCATGTGGAGACAGAAGCAGAGAGTGGAGTGATGCCACCACAAGTCACAAAAGGCCTGGAGCCACCAGCAACTGAAAGGCAAGGAAGAATCCTCCCCCCAAGAGCCTTCAAAGGGAGCACGGCCTGCTAACACCTTGATGTTGGACTTCTGATTCCCAGGACTGTAATCAGTCATGGCACAGAGGCAGAAGGCCAGCATTTGGGCCACCGTGTCATGTCCCTGATGAGCTGTCCCTGCTCCAGAGTTCACTGCTGGGTCCTGAGGTCTGAATCATGTTCAACTTTTTCATCTCCCCAGTCTTGCTTTCTTCCTTCCTCTTTTAATAAATGTTGAACTCTAATCACTGTCTCCCACTCCAAACTCTGTCCTCATTGACGGCTTCCAGAGATCCCAGCATGACACGCTATAATAAGGTATTTGTTAAATAAACAAAATTAACAGGGAGTTCCTGGAAGGTAAAAACTATGCATTATTCCATGTTTACAACCTTAAAGCTTAGCACGGCGTCTCAGACATAATATATGTGCAACAAAAATTTGTTAAAGGAAAGAAAGAATGCATGAACATATAAGTCGATTGAGTAGAAACCACAGATTGAAATGAATTTTGTAAAATACTTTTGCATAATTCTTGTGAGCCTCCTCTTGGGAAGGAAGGAAGGGAGGAAAGAGGGAAGTGAGAGAGGAAGGGAGGAAAAGGGGAGAGATTGATTGATTGTTGCTTGCTGTGTCGTGAACTCAGCTAGGCATTGTCATCAGGCCTCTGTGAGGGTGGGTGTGGAGAGGACACAACCTCTACCAGGACAGCTTTTCCCCTGGAGGGCAACATTTTTGTTCTCGCAGAACTCAGACTCTCCCTAGAAACATGCAGAAATCATTTCGCGACCCTGCCCCCGGCCATTCTGACATCAATCCTAATGGATGAACATTTTTCGTGTAAAGAGGAAAAATAAAACAGAAGGGACAAGTTCAAACAAGGCAGTGGAATGTGTGTAAAGGAGAAAGAATTGCCTCTATTTTCAACAGTTGAAAAGTCTCCCGAAGGAGACGGGGTTTCAGAACCACTTTCCCTCACAGAACATTTCCGGGGAACAGGGTGTAGAGTCATCCTCTGGCGGCGCCTTCTTTTTTAAAAAAAAATATAAAAATATGTTTTTATTGATTTCAGAGAGGAAGGGAGAGAGAGCAATAGAAACATCAATGATGAAAGAGAATTATTGATCGGCTGCCTTCTGCATGCCCCTACTGGGGATTGAGCCCACAACCCAGGCATGTGCCCTTGACCGAAATCGAACCCAGAACCCTTCAGTCTGCAGGCTGGTGCTCTATCCACTGAGCCAAACCAGCTAGGGCTGAAATGCCTTCTTTTACAGGTGAAAACACTGAAGCTCAGAGAGAGCAAACAATTGGCACAAAATCTCCTTACTAAGTTGTGGAGAGCGGCTACAGTGTTTGGACAGGTTCAAGCCTCGGACTAATGAGAAGGCACGGTCCTCTCATAGCAAAGCCACGAGCAAGTCCCAGCTTGGAAGGCAAAGCCCTCCCAGCACAGTTATAGCCAAAGGCTACAGTTGTAAGCTTGACCTGATGGTCCGAACCTGTGGTCCCAGTTGGCTGAGTGGTGTGGGCTGTGGGAGGTGCAACAAGTGCTGCTAAAACAAAGCTTGATAGAGTTCAGGTGCATGTAATTGAGTAGATGCGAAACCCATGAGAACATTGTAAACATCTTGACCACGCCCTTACTTTGCCTCGTGGAATCTGGCTATAAAATAAAGACGCGGCTTGCAGGCTGTGGTGCTGTCTCTCCATCCGAGGGCAGCCCCAGCTCTACTCTCTTGTCTGTCTTCTTTAATCCTTCACCGCCCCCGTCAGGTTCACCCCTGGCCTTGCTGAGCACAGCACACTAAGTTAATGGCCAAGACCAGGCCAGAACCTTCAAATTCTTTTCAATAAATTTTTGATTGGGTGACAGAGAGAAAGGAATGAAATGGGGGGTGGGGGAGAGGAAATGGAGGGGCTGCTGGCAAAATGAATGGGGTTTTAGCATATATAGGGGGGAATATATATGGCTTGGTGCTTTGATTATACCAAATTTTCCCTACAACAACTGTGAGACAAAATCTACTAGCTTCGTTTTATCCTCTAGGATAGTCACTCACACACTGGGCAAATTTCCCTAATAAATGGTAGACCTAGGGAGGATTCAAACTCTGGTCTGACTCCAAAAGTCATACTGGTCCAGGAGAGCAGGTTACAAGAGAGATTCAAGTGGAAAAGTCAGTTGAAACCACACTCCTCTCCTCCTTCTACCTTCCCCATACCTTCCCTTCCCCTCCCCACGCTCGTTCCAGATGCCTCTTATAAGCTTTGAGTCTCATAATCTCAGGGCTCCTCTCCTGCAGTACAAATCTCACAGCACAAACAGGTAAACACCTGGCCCTCAATGGCGTTGCCTGGAGGGAAGACGAGCCAGGGGAACAGGTGTTACTGAGATGCTCGGTGAGAAAATAAAAGAGGCTCTGATCCAGGGATCTTGTGTCTGGATAGACAAACATAAACACATAAAAATTTAACAAAAGTCATCTGCTCTAGATCTCTACTGTCTGTTTTCCTAGAGTTGTCTGCACCAATAATAATGGCACTACTAGTGAAACTAGCCACAGTTATTGAGTGCATCCTCTATTTTAGGCCCGGGACTGAAGGATGGGTGCCTTCACGCAGGCGCAGGTGATGCTGCATTCAGTCAGCTTCTTTCCCAGAGAGCGAGGCAGTGATGGGCATGTTGAACAGAGCACAGGTGAGCCGGCTCCTCACTTGTAGGCAGTGATGCAAAGTCACAGATGGAGGAAGTCTACAGAAACAGGAGCTTTCTCAGCGGGACACGATTCCCTGTTAGCCGAGCTGGTAACCTTTCCCATTTCTCACCATGGGATTCTCCTGGAACGAGGCTAATTACTGTGTCAGCCCTCCATTGGCCAAAAGTATGAAGATGCTAAGCCTGCCAGACGGTCTCCCGTGGCTTCCCCTGCTGCTCCAGCCAGTGACAGCTTAATGTCCCATTAGCGAGAGCCATACACTGAGCTGGACTCCCAGTGCTGGGCCACGGGGGTGGGGGGGACCTCAGAGTGGCCTTGAGGTGGGTGGGTGGGGTATGACGGAAAGAGAGGAGACTGAATGGGACCCCCTACCCTCATTCGCTATTTCTCCCCTCCCCCTCCTCGTAATAACATGGATGGAATGCCTCCCTGACTGCACTCAGTGAGCACGCACTGAGCACGGGCCCTATGCTAGGCAGTCACTGCTCCCGGCACAGACAGCACCCCTGTGCTCACGCCACGCCTCCCTCTGGAATGCCTTCTCCCTTCTCCACAGCATCCCAATTGCACTGGTTCATAGGTTGACCTACGAAGTTACACTGACATAGTTCTAAGTAAGAACCTTCACAATATGAGTAACCTGAACGTGGAACTGGCTGCCTTGTAAGGGAATGAGTTCCCTGACACCACAGGTGCTCAAGCAGAGGTTGGGCAGTGGGTGATGGGGGGTGACATAAAGGACGTTCAGACATTTGAAAGAGGGCCTGACGGAGCCTCAAAAACCTTCCGACTAAAATTCTCTGACTCCATTCAGGTCGAACCACGTGCAATTGCCACTCTTCCTCTCTCTGGCCACGGACGCCTCTTTAATATATGAGAGCACTCCAGTCCATTCTCGGTCCTCTGCACCGAAGGAGGAGCCATAACAACACAAAGCATCCCCATGAATAGCACGTTGTCAAACCAACTGGATTTGATCACAGAGAATGTTTGGTTTGGGGCCATCTCATGAGCATTTGAAGGCCTTTCTTACCTCATTGGCTCCCATGCTGTGTATTAATGTTGCAAGAGAAAGACTACCCATTAATAGCAAGACCTGCCCACATTCCTGGCAACTACCCCATCTGGCTCAGTGGCTGAGAGGGCTCTGCGCTGGGCTCAATTCTGAGCTAAGGGGAGTGTCACTTTTTCGGGGAGATCCATGCCAAGGGACCACTGGGAAGGTCGAGGTGGGCTGTGTTGGAGACAACCCCAGAAGTATGTATTGCCTGATTGAATCTGTGGGGTTCTTCAAACCCTTAATAGGGGGTAGATGCAGTTTGAAATCCTTCTCAGAGCGTGGCCCTAGACTTGGGTCAGCTCCATTCATGAAAAGCAAATACTCCTTCTGCACACGCTTCCAGTGCAAAGGTCCACTCAATGAATGGGAGGAATGGCAAATAGAAAAGCAAGGAGCACACGTGTGTGCACACACAGCTTTGGGTCACTGTTGACTTTTAAACTGAAATGAACTTGATCCGTAAAACCAACAGAAACTCAGACTAAAAAACACACACACACACAGCATATCCACATTAAAAAAAAAACAGGTTTTCAATGGAAAGAACACATTTCCTTCATCCTTGTCCAGCATTGCTGCTATCTTTGGCACTGCGTAGGGAGTCTAAGTGATGTCATGCTTAAGAGAGTTGGCTCTGGAATCGAACTTCCTGAGTTCCAATCCTGGCTCTGTCACTTACTGGCTGTGTGACTTATGGCAAGTTACTTTACCTCTCTGAGCCTCAGTTTTCACATCTACAAAAAAAAAAAAGATGCGGATGATAATAATAGTATCTACCTCGCGAAGTATTGTGAAACTTAAATGTCAAGTACTTAACATGATGGCAATCATATGGTAAATACTCAATAATTTCTAACTAAATGAAATACTCAATTTCTTATTATTATGTAATATTATAACAGTTCTTCTTCTCACAATGGGAAAGCAAATCCTAGGTACTCTGGAAGGATAGGTGGGGTAGTGAAGGTGAGTGGATTTTTTTCTGATAGTTTCAATGACAAAATGTGGAGTCGAGGTAGTTGATCAGAGCTGTAGTTGTCAACACTTGCTGCTCACTGGAATCTGCTGGGGAGCTTTTTCGACAAAGACTGGCTGTACCCAGGCCAAGTCCATAGTAATACTTGGGAGGGAAGCCCAGCCGCCATAGTTTCAAAAGATCCCCAGGTGATTCTAGTGTGTGGTGAGGGCTGTGGTCCGCTGGGCTAGATTCTTGCTACTGGAAGTGTGGTTCAGAGTCGGCAGCACCGACATCACCCGGGAGGGTTAGCGATGCAGAAGTGGGAGGTGGGAGGGTCAGCTCCCACCTCGTCCAAGACCTACTGAATCAGAAGCCGTGTTTCAACAAGATCGCCTGGCGGCTCCCATGCCCACTGACAGTTGAGGAACACTGGAGTAGAAGACAGCCAAGTTTCACTTCTTGCTCTGCAGTAGGTGTCCCATAAACACCAAAT